CTTAGAAAGAGCTGGCTGGATGGCTCAAGGGTTTAAGAATCTGGCTGCGGTTGGGAGTTCGAATCCCCCCACTGTGGCCACCTGTGAGTAGGGCCAGCCTGGGTGGCCTTGGGCAAGCTGCACACAGTCCCAAGGCTGCCCCTAGAGGAGAGGAAGGGTAAAGCACTTCTGAGTATTCTCTACCCGGAAAACTCTGGAAAGGGTCACCATCACTAACCTGATGGCACACAATGATTTTATTGTTCTATGGCTTTCATTTCCCACTCTTTTGCCATAATTTCACGAGGAGGCCTTTGCACGGGCTCCCCACAAACAAACCTGTAGACTGATCTGCAGACGAATGGGGGGTGACCCAAAGGACCAATGGAGGGCTCACTTGGGGCAGGGGCAGTTCCTCAGTTTGGGGCCCTTCGGCTCACCAGCCGGATCGCCTGCACGGTCTGCTCCAGCGCTTGAACGTTGGCCCAGAATTACAGAATCATAGGACGTCCGAGTGGGAAGGGACCCCACGTGGCTTGGAGTCTAAACCGCACCAAAGAGGAAATCCATGGCTAAGGTTCTCGAGAAACCTCCAGCGAAAGACAGCCCACCACTTTCTGAGGCAGGGAAGGGAGCAGATTTTCCTTCGCTGGAGACTTCTCAGCAGCGGCTGGCCCGCTTTTCCTACACTGTATCACTGCTTGGACATATTCAGTCCTGCTTTGGCGCTTACCGCTCACCGTGGCAGCTTCAACCTGCTGCGTTTCCTCCTCTCACCGCCAAGCCAGAATTCGGGAGTTCAATTCCCCACTGCGCCTCCTGGGAGACAAGCCAACCTGGGTAGCCTTGGGCCACCTGCTCAGGATTTTCCCTTCCCTGAAGAAGGGAAGGGAAAACAGCTTTTGAGTTTTCTCTTCCTGGAAAACCCTGGCGAGGGCTGCCATAAGTCAGAATTGACCCAACAGCATGCAATGGCCATTAAAATCCACTGAAGATTTCTGCTGCTCAAGCGCCACTGAAGTAAACAGTTGTATCCTGATTCAATCTGGAGGGATCTGAGCCTCATCCAATTCAATGTGTGTCTCGCCTCCAACTTAATTTGCAGATTTGTGAAGTCAATGCATTTGACTTGCACTGGGAAACCGAAACAGCTGCCTTTTGCTTTTGTCCTGAGGTGGCTGGAATTTGGAGACGTGACTGGCCCTGTTCGATGTCGGTTCTGCACCAGAATTCCCCACCGGTGGCTTCGAAGCCTGTCTTTCCAAACAGCTGCCACGGAGCCACGTGCCTTTCACAAAAACCATGAAAGCCAACACCCCCCTTCCCTGTCCTGAATCCCAGGCTGACGCTCAGGATGCAAGCTGCTGACATGGAAGGAAAACAGAAGAGCTGTTTTCTGTCAATAAATATTTTATGGCTACCTGATTCATTTGATGACCCAGCCAGATAACAGCTGGAAAGCGGGTCCTCTTCTCTTCTCTTGTCTTCTCTTCTTTCACTGGCCACCCTTTCCTAAAAGTTGACCCCCTCTTTCTACGTCAGCTCAGCCAGATTTAAACGCTTAAATGCCCCTTCTCCTCTGTTTTCTTAGGTAAGGACATCTGGGGGAAGTTGGACAGAGTCCTTACCAGAATCCAGACGGTACCCAGCGTGGCTGGCTGTGGGGGTCTGGGAGGGGGAGACCAAAAACATAAGGCTTCCAAGCTCTGGATGCCCACCTACCCACTCGGTGCCACCCACACCTTCTCAGTGCCTCCGGCTCCTTCTGAGGTTAGCTGTATCTCTCTCTCTCTCTCTCTCTCTCTCAACAGCTGATGGGAAGGTCGATTAACCCAGCCGTACATAAGTCATTAGGATCCATTGCCTTTGCAAAAGGCCTGTTCCTGTTGAAGATGAAAATGCCTAGAACTGGTTTGCAGGCATGAATCAACACAGAAGCCCAAATTGTCACAATCACCCTTTCCGTAGCTGGTTTCCTATGGGGAGTGTCACCACGGGAGGCCCGCGGTCCAAAATCTACTAGTACACCATAGACTCGATGTTATTAACTGTTATCAAAGTTCCTGCAGGTGGGTTCATCACCTCCTTGCATACCCTTACAAAAGAGCCTTCCCCAACCTGCCCAAGCTGGCGGGGGAAAATGGAGTTAGTAGTCCAGCATGTGAGACAGCCCTGACTCGGGAGAGGCTAAAACAGGCTGTGAGGCACCCAGGGCTCCACTAACACACACACCCCAAACACACACGCACACCTCCACAGTATAGATCCCAGGCTTTTGACAGCTAGGTCCTTGGTGCAAGGAGGGAATCTGTGGGACCTAAAGAGATAAAAACAATGGCAACGACGAGGATGGTTTCTTACTTTTCCTATGCCCCCTGGACTCCCATGAAATTCAGATGGTGTGCCTGGCCATGCGATCCTGTCCTCTTTATTGTCAGAACAACCCTGCAAGTCAGGTCGAGCCTCCCATCACCCAACGAACTTCATGGGTGATTGGGGATTTGAACCCAGGCCACCAGAGTCCTGGATGCACATTTTAACCCATGCATGCACTAGCTGTAATAGTGGGATTCAGACATCAGGCAAGGGAAAAAACCAAACCCTCTGAATTATGCTGTCTGGGGTTTTCTGGGAGCTGTGGCCCAAAGAAGTAAGACTTCCAAAGCCCGTCAGATGAATTACGGTAAGTCACTGCTTTGGCTTTCGTTTCAAGATCGCTAAGCCGCCATCCCACCCCCACCCCCTTGCACAGTAAGGGAGAGAATTTTTTGCTTTGCAGCCATCGCTCTTCTTGCACCCGGGGCCAAGATCCTCTGGCCCTTAGGAGACGTTTTTGCCCAGGCTGTGTGTGCGTGTGCGTGTGTGTGTGTGTGATCTTCTCTCTCTCTGTGTTGCCTCCCCCGGGATCCTTTCTGCCTTGCTGAAGCCAAGGCACTGAAGAGGAGCAGGAGGCTGCGTGTTCGCCTGGCATGCAAGTGGCACCTTGATGTGCCCTCCCTATCACAGCTCAGCTCAAAAACACCCAGAAAGCTTCTCTAGGGTAATTAATTGGCCGGAAACATGGTGCCAGAGGATGGGCTAGACTGGAGGGCGGGGGATCATTGTTATGATTTTTAAAGGGTCCATAACGATGCTCCAAAGACTCAGCAGCTCCTTACACAGACGTGCTGGCAGCATACAAAATTCAGGCCCGTCTTTGCCACGAAGAAGGGAAAAACATCCAGCTGTCTCGAGAGGTTTGCAGACTGAAAACTGGTCGTGCTTTGCTTTCTGCAAGAAATTGCAGTCAAAAGGGCTTTAGGATCTACGCTGGTGGTTGCACGAGGGCGGAACACCCAGGGCGCACGTATTTATTCCTGCTGCTCAGTATGTTGTGTTGCTCAAAACAAGGCACACATGCTACCAAACTTCTACAATCGGACAAAATGAGATCAATCCACCTCATGAAAACTGTGAAAAATAAAAGCTCTAACCACATACACACAAATGACCAGAGTTCTTCAAATCCCCACGATATGTTCGCTTTGTTCTGTTACATGTCATTTCTGCCCTTCGCCCTTCAATGTATTCAACCACAATATTTTGGTAAACGTTGAACAATGCCATATGAGAATCCTTGGAGAACACGAAATTTCACTGAAGATTGGAGGTGGGTAGACCTTGTCCTCATTTTCAAAAACAGAGAAGAGGCAGCGCCGGGCAACTACAGACCGGTCAGGTTGACCTCCATACTAGCAAAAGTTTCAGAAGATGATTACTAAACTGTCTATGAGGACTTAGAAAGGAACACTGTGATTTCCAAGATGTATCATGCGATGCTAAAATACGCCACACTTAATCTCATCCTTTATTTTGTAGATTCACAAGCTTCACAGAGGAGGAAAATGCTGTGGGCGTTGTGTATTTTGATTTCAGCAAGGCTACAACGTTTTTGGGGCCAAGCTGGTAACACATGGGCTACATCAGTAGTTTCCAGATGCTTTTGGACTCAAATTCCCAGAAGCCTTCACCCCTACCTGTGCCAGCCAGGATTTCTGGGAGTTGTGGTCCAAGAAAACACCTGGGGGACCCCTGAACTAGATGCTGCTACTATGGAGGAGAGGTGTAGCTGATGGACAGGATGTATCCCAGAGAAAATCAGCAATGGTTGCCTGGAAAGAAGGTACAGGTGGCCTACTGTGGCATTTGGTCCTCGCCCTGGGGGTTTTCCAGCATCTTTATGTATGATGTGGATGAAGGAGGAGAAGGGATGGTCTTCACATGACACCCAACTGGGAGGAGCAGTTAATATCTCAAAAGACCGAATGAGGATTCAAGCTGGTTTCAGTAAAACTGGAGATCTGAGCCAAAACAAATGAAACAATCAATGAACAAACCAACCAACCCAAGGAAAAAAATTCAAGTACAGAGATGTGGATGGGCTAAATCTGGATTGACATAAGTATACATGAAAAGGATATACTGTACAGGTAGGTTTCTTTATAGACCACAGGTGAGACATGAGTCAGCAGTGTGATGCTGCAGCAGAAAAAGTAAATGTGATTCCAGGTTGCATCAATTCATGATTTTATTTATTTATTTAAAATATTTCTACCCCGCCTTTCTCCTTGAAAAGGACTCAAGGTGGCTTACAAACCACGAAAGAATATTTAAAATGCAAAACAATGAGTCTACAAGGGGGTGGTTTCACATCTTTAAAAGATTATATTTGAAACTATGAATAAGGAGGTGTCCTTTAACATTAACAGGCAATAGGAAGGCAAAGATCAATAAATATACAAACAAATGTAAAATGAGAAATGAGAATGAATGGCTCGATGGCACTCCGCTTTGATCAGAACTTAACATGTGGACCAGTTCAGGTTCAGCCCTCCCCAGTTTCAGAAAAGTATCGGCAGCTGATAATATGTCCAGCCTTGGAAAAAGAAAAAAGAAATGCCAGCCATTGTATGCCTTCTTTTTCCTTCTCAATCCCAATGCTGACGGAGGGGGGTGAGGACTAGAAAATCCTTGACAGCGTGATGGTGTCCATGCTCACCCACAGGTCAGTTTTGCTTTGTTCCTTCTTACTTTTAAGTGGGCGGAGGGGGGGTTATTTGTGTTCAGTGTATGTTCTACAGGTTTTCTGCTATAATGGCTTTAGCTGCTTTTCATGTTGCTTAGCATCCCTGTTGTGTGTGTGTGAAGTTATTGTTTGCAGAAGTACTTACTTTTTGCAAGTCATGTGTGTGTCTCTCTCTCTCTGTGTGTTTTAAGTTATTGTTTGCAGTAGTACAGTACTTACTTTTTGCAAGTCGCAAGATAGACACGACTTGAAATTAAAATAAGAAATCACTCCATTCAGGCCTGCTGCCATAAAGGCTGTCGGTTAAGTGCTCTTGTTAAATTATGGATTTATTATGAGTCCAGATTTAAGACATGCGCGTACATTTTTTTCACGTGGACTACGAATTCCTGGGGAAGGCTGAGTCTCGTGTAACAAAAGCCCAGCAGCGCTTTATATAGTGCAGATTTTTTATTTGAGAAGAAGGTCCCACGGAATGATAGGATATGTATTCGTGAAGGCTTTCATGGCCAGGATCTAATGGTTGTTGTGGATTTTTTGGGGCTCTTTGGCCGTGTTCTTAAAGTTGTTCTGAACAACCTTCAGAACACGGCCAAAGAGCCCGAGAAACCCACAACAACCAATGATAGGATATTTTGGAAGTCACCCAGACCCGACGCGAGAACAAGACATGGCCGTGCATTCAGTGGGGTTGGCTCCCGGGGATTTACCAGTCTCCCCATGGCTATTCAGAAATAAGTCCCGTTGTGTTCAATGGCCTTTAACCCACAGCGTATGCGTTTATGGCAGAGAAGGGCAGCCTTTGAACCCTAGCACTCATTTTCAGCCTTATAACTGAACCCGACGCGAGAACAAGACATGGCCGTGCATTCAGTGGGGTTGGCTCCCGGGGATTTACCAGTCTCCCCATGGCTATTCAGAAATAAGTCCCGTTGTGTTCAATGGCCTTTAACCCACAGCGTATGCGTTTATGGCAGAGAAGGGCAGCCTTTGAACCCTAGCACTCATTTTCAGCCTTATAACTGAACTACCCTCAGTTGGCCAAGGGGATCAAAAGAGGGGTGGGGGAAAGTAATTTCCATCTATGTACGTCCAGACTCTTCCTCTGAGCAAATGAGGGCTACCCAGGATTTCGAGTGTAAACTCACAAGCCTCTTGGTTCAAAAACAGGTCTTCCTGCTTGACGCCTGAGCAGACAAGTGCACTCTAAGTAGATCTACCCTGTTTCCCCGAAAATAGGACCTAACCTGAAAATAAGCCCTAGTATATTTTTTCAGGATGCTCGAAATACAAGCCCTACTCTAAAAATAAGACCCAGTTCAGTGAAACCTCGCCCTCCACCCTTGTACAGCAACCAGAAGAAGAGGACATGACTATATTTGAATTAACGTAGATTGTACATGAAAAAATAATAATAAAGCAGCCCCTGAAAATAAGCCCTAATGTGTTTTTTTGGAGCAAAAATTAATATAAGACCCTGTCCTATTTTCGGGAAAACACGGTGCATACGTGCCCTATTTTACCTGGACATAAAGCCCACTGATGAGGTAAGAGGGCCTTATTTTTTTCCTAAAAGTGGCCAGGCACAGAAGCTCCCTAATATGGGACCCCACATATTCATGGACGGCAGCCACGGGAGAGGGATCTGTGATCTTGGGGTCCCACCTTTGAGAAGCAGGTTCTTTAAATCCTTTATTTAAACATTTTGCTCAAAATGCCAAAAAGTCTTCTCAGCCCTTCTTTCTTTCTTTCTTTCTTTCTTTCTTTCTTTCTTTCTTTCTTTCTTTCTTTCTTTCTTTCTTTCTTTCTTTCTTTCTTTCTTTCTTTCTTTCCTAACTGAGGAGCCAGAGGTGGGCAGTTCGAATCCCCCTGGGCCTCCTGTACACGGGGCTGGACTTGATGATCTCTAGGGTCCCTTCCAGTTTTTGCCGTTCCAAGAGGATGATGGTCAGACAGCTCCATACTTTTTTTTGGCTGTGGAGCCTGAGGTTGTGAGTTCAATTCCCCCCAAGTGCCTCCTGGACCTAATCATCCACAGAGTCCCTTCAAGCTCTGCAGTTCTAACATTATTTATTTATTTATTTATTCATTCATTCATTGAATTTATTTATTTATTGAATTTATTCGCAGCATGTGTGCGTTTTCCTCTCATACAAGGAAGGTAAGACTGGCGTTTGGGAAAGTAACTGGCATGGACTGGCAGGCTTCTCAGAATGGTAGTCCAAAAAAGTAACTTATTTCCCTGGACTCCAACTCCCATTTACCCACCCCCACGTTTAAACGACGACCCCCCCCCCCCCACGGACCCTTTGTTTTTTTTTGGGGGGGGGG